TGAAGCATGCACTCATTCTTTCATGGACAACAAAATATCTCAGCGGTACCAGAAAGATCTCAATTTGTCAAACATCCGCCGATTCTTCTCTATGCGTTCCGGAACTTCATTTGTGGTTTGAACTGGAATGGAAACACGATCAGTCACACATACACTCCAGAGAAGCTTACAGCTTACCTGGATCTTTACCCAGGAAAGTAAAATCAATGATGTCCTCTGCGTATTCCAGATCAGGGAACTTGCAGTCTGGGAGCAGAATTAATAATAGCAATATAACTCAGCATAATAGTTCACTCTCGTTCGACCACTTCTGGTTGTAGACTACGCTAATTTAATCACCGATAGTTGTACCTCTATTGGTTCCTAAATCACACAGTACTGCCCAATCCCCTCCCCTCTCAACTACCCACATACCCGAGCGGTCCAACCTTAGTAGTTCGCACTCAGTCCAGGACGCCGTAAATGATTCNNNNTGATTCACACTAGTCATAACAGATGACAAATGAGTTTACTTTATTCGCGAGAGATCGGTGCTGTTTCGTAATGTCGTTCCTTGTTGATGCCGCTTCGAAACTGAGTCGTTTCGACGCTGCAGATATTGACCCCGTTCGGGGACTTGATTCACTTTTAGGACATGGGGTTTCATCGATCGTTTGTTCGTTCGATCTGTGTACGGTTCAATCATACCCCGATGACCGACCGACCCCACAAGTAAGCGTTCTCTGTCACGTGCGGTGATTGATGCACACTCACCAAACCCACACACACACACTGCCGGTTAGCATCATTGCCGGACAAGCGGGTAATCATACGCCAAACCGAGTTCGGAGTAGATAGAGTGAGAATGTGAATAGGACTGGATGAATGAATAACGAAATAGAAATGAAAATGGTCATAAAATCACCTTTTCCCCGTGACATATGTGTTAATGCCAATTTACGAAGATAGGTAGGTGACTGTGGATGATTATGGCAGAGTTACACAGTGTGGTGGAGTTCTAACGCTTCATGGTTAATGCACGTGTTGGCATTTGTTCTACCAAATACCAGGGATTTTGCAATCGCAAGGGAGCCAACCTCACCCCCACCCCCTGGTGGAGCCAATTTCATGCACAGATTTCTCTGTTTTTACTTTTACATGTAGTAATAATCGGACGGTTGGTACAGGCAGTCTATTGCCAACGAATGTATCAATAACAGGAACTGGGTCCATTCGACGAGCATCACTGTTTACCATGCACATATCCAAATGGATTGTGGAGTGCTAAATTGAAGTTGAACAATCAGTTAGTGGATTCCGAACAGTAAAATATTTCGGCTTTGTGATTGGTGTTTTGAAACGGCAAAATAAACAGTTTCAACAGGACTGTACTCCACTTTCTTCTCCGGGCGAAGATCAATTGCCTCAATCATTAGACCATAAACCGCTGGTATTTAAAATCGTTTGCCCCGTGTAGTTGAGGGGAAATACATAGTTTTACCTTCTGATCGGTCCGTTTTGCTAGTGCCCAGCCTGTCCCATTGAAACCCTATTCCTGTAACTGGCCGTTTGCTTCCTACCTTCCCCGTCTAAGAGACCACATCTGATGGATGCTGCACATGACACGTTCACTCCTCACCACCATACACACATACACAACCTCTTTTGAGCCAGTTACGCCGCATGTCCCGTATTTGTTATCAATGACAGTTGTAGTTTAAACTTAAACTTCACTCGTAGCATGATTCCATATAGAAGTGCACTATTTCTATCCATAATAGCCACTTCATTTGGCTAGCGGGGTTCATTCATCCAACGTAAATTAAAACAGTATGTATGTTTACCCCGGAGATGAAAACTTTGGTGTCACACAGCTGTTTTGATGAAATCCACTTACATTGTACAGATAGGGGAAAAATACCTAAATAGAAATCAAATACATTATTAGAGCACTCTGATGAAGACAGTGTGATTTCAAACTAGTTTAGCTATCTCGGGATGTTTCGTGTGAGGCAGACTATGAAAAGACAATAGAATGCTGCAAACCGCCTAGGGGGGGGGGCGAACAGAATTTGTGAATCTTTGACAGAATTCTCTTGCTAGGAAAATTTGAACGGTTTTCCCCTCGAAAACCGATTTAGGAGCCATCTCTTTCATCGTGTGACTTGTATCTTGATTTGTCTGACATATATATTATATTTCACACACATCTGAGACCAAACTGTGTGCCAAACAAATCACGGAACAATAATCTTTATGAAAAGAGAAAAACGTTCCATGATTGGCTTATCGGTGGAATACTGCCAAGTTGCCCGGACTGAGGCAAGTGAATTTCCTGGAGGAATCCACAACCGGAGCCTTTGGTTAACCAAAGCCTGAACTACAAGGCAGCGGGGCGGTGTGCGACAACCGCAATCCATTGGGCACCAGTGTCCAGTTTATCGGATCATACGCCCTTTTGACGGGGTCAAACGTACAAGGTGTCCAATCGAGCCGGTGACCACTGCCACCACCTGGAAGGTGTGTGTGGTTCGTACGCCTCCTCTAAGTTGGTTTGGAATCAGGGTTTTTGGCCAACCCCCGTAGGTGAACTATCAGTGGTCCACCGACCCGGACGTCGACTTTTTGTCCTCTCACTTTGGTGGGAAGAAGGCAGTGAGTAGGGCTTCTTCAGCAGAGACTATTTGAAACGCTTGGTCGTATGGGAGCATTTCGCGAGGTACAAGGGAAAGTGACCAGGCGCAACCCCCGACCATACCGAGGCTTTTGGAGGCACCCACTACATTAGAATAACTTTCATTTATTGACGAACTCGCAAGCTTACGCGGCGTAGTCAACGTGGTTGTCTCCATCAACTGCATGGCGGAGGTCTTTGTTTTCACTTCCACTTTTTCACACATAGTTGTTTATCTCTCGTTCACCCGGTTCCCTTCCATCCGTCCTTCCACCCGAATTTGTATAGGAAAAGACCGAATTGGCCGATCAGCGCAAGGCCAAATTTCATCAACCCGAAGGTGATCATCTGACTCTGTTGGCCGTGTACAATGCATGGAAAAATAACAAATTCTCCGCACCCTGGTGTTATGACAATTTTGTGCAAGCAAGAACACTAAAACGAGCCCAAGATGTGCGTAAACAGCTGCTAGGAATTATGGACCGGTAAGTGTATGTGTGTGTGTGTCTGTCTTTGTATCATTCATCCCAATAGAACACCCGATTCTCAACTGTCCACCGATTATTCTATCATGTCATCCATCCATTTGTATGAAGGATAACTTCTAATCAGGAGGCAAAGCGAACCAAATCACAATCACTTGGATCTCGCATAGTTGGATTAAACCTCTCGAGAAAAATCACTCAACGCCTGTGATTAACAGTAACAGTATTTACGAGACCCCATAGGAGTCATTCAAAAAGGCTCAAGTAGAAATGCCAGTTTTACCACTGTTATTTGCCAGTTGTCAGTCAATTGTTAGTGTAGACTTGTAATTGATAATTACTTGCTATTCGGCATCAGTGAAAAACGATATTATTGATTTAGGCTTACCATAGACATTCGCATAGCCTTCGATTGAGTTGGTAGGACCGCACTATGGAGCTGTTTGTTGAGGAAAAGAGTACCAGAGAAGCATGTGTCGATCCTCATACCTCAGGTCTGATTAGTGCCTGTTGCCAGCTTTCGCCGTCTCCAATGGAGTTCAACAAGACTGCCCTATATCTCCTTTCTTTTTCAACTTCGCAGGACGCTTTGTCCGGTTATGCAAACGAGGTTGTCAAACTCCTCCCAGGGAACAGGGTTATTGAACTAGAATATGCCGATGACATCGCCTTGTTGGGTGACGATGCACAGACAGTCCAACAAGCTTTACAACACTTGACGATTGACGTATCCAGATATGTTATGTGACTTGCACCACCAAAGTGCAAAGTGTTGCTTCGAGACTGACAGGAGCCTGTACTTGTACCCACCCTCTATGGTGATCAACTGGAAGTGTTTGAGAGCTTTAAGTCCCTCTGGAGGTTGATCGAAGCTGGTGGTGGTGTTGAGGAGGAGATCACATCACGAGTAGCAGCTTTCGTCTACCTGCGACACCTGTGGCGCCGCCTTGACATCCGACTGTCCCTTACGGGAAGGGTTTACGTTGCCGCGGTCCGTAGTGTTCTGCTTTACGGTTGCGAGACCTGGCCCCTCCGCGTTGAGGGTGATAATCGACTTTCTGTATCTGACCAGCGATGTCTCCGAAGCATTGCTCGTGTCTGGTGGGAACACCGGGTGAGCAATGACGAGGTCCGTCGTTGTGTGTTGGGTGTGAATAGTCGTCCTCTAACAGAAGTAATCGCTCTACACCGCCTCCGCTGGCTCGCTCACGGATTGCGTATGCCTGCCGATTGACTTCCTCACCGTACTCTCTTTGCACGTGCTGGACAACGTTGGAAGAAGCTTCGCGGTGGTCAAACCATGACATGGCATAGAGGTATGAATAAGTTTGCCTCAGCATTGGCTTCGGTTGGTGCAGCTCGCCTTCCAGGCTGGGGCCGAAGGGATAGGATTCTCGGTAATTGGAGACCCTGAGAGATATGGCTCAGAATAGATGTCGGTGGCGCGACTGTGATGCGGTTTGTTTGGTGGAATTATCAAAAAGTCATTCATTCGTTCTCCGTGTTCTGTTTCCCCATTTTCATTTAAGCTTTCTGTATCCCTCCATAACTTCGTTGTCATTGTTTTGCATTGATACTATGCTTGTTCTCAAACCGGTGTGAAAATAGATCGATTTAGGCGTCTTAAAATTTGACTGTTCGGGGGCGAGGAGTCTCGAGGAGCTGCTTATCCACCGGTGTCTATACTACTAGGCCAGGACACGTGAATTTCCGGACGCATTCACAGCCTGTACCTTCAGGTAACCAAAACCTGATCTGCAAGACAATGAGACAGTGTGTCGGTATACACCCCCCCCCCGCACACACACACTTCTGGGGGGCCAGTTCATTGTGGGGAACTGAGGCCAAATACAACTACACCTTTTCCCATCAAGCTTTAGCCAAAACCCGAAATGCTTTAGCACAATTCCATTCTGAACACAAAACAATGTATCGTTTGGGTTACACTTGAGATTTTTACTCCTAGGAGTATCGCATGTTATACAAGAACACTGAAGCTGTACGAGATGTGTCAAATGGTTTGACGATACGGTTAAACCTTCTCCAATCAACATATGTTGCAGTATGTGATCCCCACAACTTATTTCTTAAGGAAACTTTGTAAGATCAACGTTTGTAGAAAATAATTTGCAATATCCGTTGACTTCAGAATATTCCGATATTTTTTGATCTGATTCGCCCACTGCGGCTAATGTCTGTGCGTTGAGGCTAAAAGACTACGGGTCTTGGCTAAAGCATTTCGGGTTTTAGCTAAAGGATTAGGAGGTCGAGGCTAAAGGCTTGCAAGTTCTGGCTGAAGTTTGACGGGAAAAGGTGTAAACAACCGAGAGCTGATGCTGATTATAGGTGAGCTCAAATGCAAGTCTCAGCTGATTAGCAGTTGATATGAAGTAGGTCAGATCATTCGGAGCATGCGTTTCTCCTTCTCCGGGATACCCTGTTCTTGTTGTTGTTTTGCAATCAGTGCAGTACCTCAACTGTTCCGGGTTAATAATAAAATACCAGGTTCTCTTAATCCCTGTCGGACCGCATCCTCGCACTACGCGAGTGACTAAATCTACAAAAATGTCTAATAATATTTGTGGTTCCGGATGTAGTCTATAAGATACCCTTTCGGTTGGATCTGGGACCGCGTCTCCACTTTTCATCAGGTACACCGGGCTATCACATATCTGGATTGACACTTCGTAATTTGCAATCGACGGTAAATGATTTTCCACGAAAACCTGCCCCCCCACCCTTGATTGTGTCCTCAAAGTATTGCATTACTATAATCAGTTTCAGTTTTACAACCATTAATCATGCACTTTCGTGCGCTGGATCTCGTTGCTGTGTTTCGACCACTCATTTGTATTAAAGATTAGTGTGAAGATTGGAATGTGTAGAGCAAATTCAAGCGAAAGATAGAGAATTTATGTAGACTGGGGCTGCGAGAATATTGAATAGATGGACGAGCGCCACTGTTTCTGACACTCAGCCATATCACTCAGTATCTCTGACCACCGATTACCATGATCTCGGAGTCCCCAGCCAGGGAGCCTAACGGGACTTATGTGACACAGTCTCCTGGTTAGGGTTTTCTTAACCTCATGCTAGGTCTTAGTTTGATCGCCTTTGATCTTTTCCCCTACCTGCCTCTGCAAACATCTCGCGCTATGTTGACCTATTTGGTGACATGTAACACATGTCCCAAAACAGCTCATGGAGATCGACCACTTGCTGCAGTGGACGACCGCGATTACCTAAAATTGCGCCTAATCGCAGCATTGCCCTCCGGTTTCCCCACCAGACTCGTGCAATGCGACGTAGACAACGGTGGTCGAACACGAACAATCCATTTTTATCCTGTTACTGAAAAGGTGAAGTCTCTTCACGGTATAGCAGACCGAACTGCTGCAGCAAACACTCAACCCTTCACAGACGATGGCAGCATGATAGAAAAGCCTATCCCACTGCAGTTGAAATCTTGAATACACTGCGCCACGGTGTTGTTGCTTACCCTTTATTTCACAGAAACCTGGAGATAGTGTCTGAAGGATTGCACTTTTTCACTACCGAAGCTGAGC